AACAGTCCTAAGAATTTATTATAGTCATCTTAGCTCGCCTTCCTTATATATTTTCTATTTCCCCGTTAGTTTCATAATTACACAATATATTCCGTTAACATGAAATCGGGACATATGCCGAGGACATTGTAGCAAAATGAGAGAACACTACATTGGGGCCCCTTTATAGCGTTAACTCGAAAGATACAAATCGATTTTCTGTTAAGCAATGACGTTCTATTCTGGGGCCCCGGCCGATGACTTGCAATGACTTCGAATCTCAGAACAACTATGAGATTATGAGATAATGTTTAATATGAGAATGAGAAAATAATGAGAGACTATGTTTTTCACGCGTCTTCGCACGAACATCTATTTTGTTAATAAATTTCGCCGGGATAAAAATTGACCTACGTATTTCAGACTATCTGTGGCGATCTATCTGTGGCGAATTTTATTTACATCTGTTTAGTAATCGTGTGTGATTGATTAACAGACATATATTCAAACTTTCATATTCGTAAGAATAAATCAGACTTTCAGAAAATTATAAAATAATGCGACTGCGACTGCGACGAAATCATTATAAGAGGAGAAAGAGAGAGAGAGAGGAAGAGGTTATAGAAAAGTGTAGCCATATTTCAAATGTATAAGAATAACCACAAACATATACTCAAATTTTTATCCCCGAAGGAGGAGACAGAGACGTATTAATCGCCCACAACCTACCGAATACAATTTGTGTCCCACTTTTAGTAATAGCTGGCAAGCCTAGGATTCATGGGGTTTCTTTAGGAACTTTGTTTTTGAAATTGACATCAGGAATTTATTAATTTATCTATGAAATTAAATTCGAATAAAGTAAGGTTATTATGAAAGAGACTACAGCAAGTAGTTGTGTGCCACATATTCGTATCCGCAGATATCCGAGGGAGAAAAAAGAATTGTACCCGTGGCCGTATTCGTTACTTTTGACGGATCTTAATAATTTCGTATTATTTAGTTCCCAACGACGACTAACGGTTTAAGGTCACGTGTTTTGGCACTAACTGAGAAAAAACTATGACCCGTATCTATATTCGAGCATCTATACGCAATTTATCCGTTTTTCCTTTCTCTTTTTCTGTTTTCAAAATACAACTTCTGCATAATATATCCTTATTTTTACAAACATACATGAAACGGACACCCAGACTCAGAACAACAATTTGTAGATCACACAAAACGTTTCCCCATTTGAGGATCGAATCCACAATACTCAGCGCAGTAGGAAGCTGCGCGCCGTCTAAACCACTACGCCAACCTAGCAGTAACGTTTTCGTATCCGTGGATACACATTATCCCGACACATCACTAAAGTGTATACACGAGAAAAACTTCTATTTTTTTACATTTTTAGGTCACCTCAACTAAATTTGATACTAAAATATGAAAACACTTTTCTAATACACGTTGTATTACTTAGGAATCCACGTCAATATATTTTATCTGTTTTTTATGATACAGGGGGCAAACGAGCAGACGGGTCACCTGATGGAAAGTGACTACCACCACCCGTGAACGCCTGCAACTTAGGTCATCAAGGAAGGAGTACGCTCTTTTCTTGAAGGTTTTTTTTTCATTTGACGATATAAATACAACACCTTTTCCACAAAAGGCGAAATCCATATAAGAATACCAACGTTTCTCTATAAGTGCACATTATTTCTACAATTAAAACACTTTCGTATATTTTTACATTTCGGTGACATATTCACATCACTACGGTGATCAGAGCTCTCGAATTAAAGTCACAGCTGTAATTTGTACTCTTTTCAATATAATTATTAAAAAATGTTAAGTTGATTTCTGTGCGCTTCAAAAACTCAAAACAGTTTTGTACCAATTGAGCTCAAAACGCGATCAAAACGCTTAAAACATTGTTTTTATTTATTTTTCGCGTCAGTTCTGTTTTTCATTTCTCATCAACGCAAGCGCAGCGAAGCGTGACAGTGTACAGCTAGTACTTTATATTTATGAACTAAAATCGAATAAAAATTTAGAAATTTCTTGCAAAACAAAAGCATTTTTAATTTATCCGATTTTTTTTATTTGCTAATGGGGCCCCAAGTACTAAAATTATAATTGGCAAAATGTGAACGTTTAAGACGTCTCTGCCAACCTTGGTGGGAATGAAGGCGTATTAAAAGCATTTATCGTGATACGGTTATTCGCGGAGCCCCAATATATCAGGTATGGCGCACGATGGGGCCCCTGTGGCGTTTTAAATATCAGCTGCAAATATAATATCTTAAGGATGATATTTTAATTAGTATTACTAAAACTGAACACTACTAATCGACTAAAGCAATACGACGTCACAAATTATTAAAGCCGTGTAAGCTTAAATTTCGTACTGATATTAAATGTTGACAACGAAAATGAAGGGATATTGTTGTAATATTGTTTTTTTATAGATCTCAAATATTTTTAAGATTTATTTACTTTAAAGAGAAAGTATGCAAGTTCTTATAGAGATTTGTTGACGGAGACATCAGAATAATAGTTTAGTATATATTTTTCTTTTTTTTACAGACATCTCCGCCCTAGGAGTATAAATCCTGTGTCGCGGGGGACTTTACAAATATACATGAAAAGGACACAAAAAACACCTACACTCAGAATAACAATTTGTGGATCCCCCAGAACTCAAAACAACAGTTTGTGGATTTGTGAATGAGAGTGATGTCCCATGTGGGGATCGAACCCACAACACTTAGCGCAGTAGGAACCGGTGACTGCTTAAACCACTAAGCCAGCCATGCAGGCATATTCTAGTGATAAGTGAGCCTGACAGCTACGCCCAAGGGCGGAGGTCCCCACCCAGGACAAACAATTGTGAGGTGAGCATGGTCATTTGTCTCTGAAGTATTTGATTCAACTTAATCTTTTTTTCACTTTATTTACAAGCGTATGACGTCATTCGATAGTAAAATCGATGTGTTTAATTCAATTCAAAATTTAATTAATTTAGGATTATTGAAAAAAAAAACGTTTGGATGTCCCTGCATATGGGCGATTCTGCCATTCATATTAAGGAAATCAAATTTGACCCATAATATTTTGTGTCCGTGGTGCTTCCCTTTTTAAAACGGGGTATGCCTATATTTTACTTGGATTTATTATATTTATTATCAGACTTATCAGGGGTCCAAAACTCGGGCACGCCGTCATCGCGGCGGTAAGACCCGTTATGGAGGATTGGCTCGAGAGGCGTCACGGGACCCTCTCATACCGATTGACGCAGGTGATCACTGGGAAGGGATGTTTCGGAGATCACCTGTGTCTGATCCGCAAGGAGCCAACGCCTGAGTGCCACCACTGCGATGGCCAGACCGTGGACACGGCTCTCCACACGCTGGCAGAGTGCCCGGCGTGGGTTGAGCAGAGGCGAGACCTCGTGGCGGCCATCGGAGTGGGAGTCCTCTCGCTCGATAGCCTGAGTGCGTGGAGCGAGAGTGCGTGGAACTCTGCCGTCTCCTTCTGCGAGCAAGTTATGCTCGCGAAGGAGACGGCGGAGCGGGACCGGGAGAAGTTTAGAACTCTCCCGGCCCGCCAGGCCCGGGAACGGGCCAGGCACCGCAGGCGACTCAGGCACCGGAGGTCGCAGAACGACCTCCGTCTTCCATAAGCGCAGGCCTGAGGGTGACAGGTGAGGCCATCTGTCACCCTAGCAGAAGCAGGCCGGGGTGGCGGCGACAGACAGACAGACAATAAAAAATTAAACGGGTGTTTAGGCATAGGTTTCCTGCAAATAACCGTGTGAGTATTAAAAATCTATTACAGTAAAGTACAGGATTTTTCCCTTGGAGATGCATAGAACTTCATTCGCTAAGAGACAAAACCATGTCAATAGTATAATGTTATATAACTTCAAATATTCAAAAAATAAATACCAATGTAAAAATATACTCAAAGAATATCTACTTAAATTAGATTATCGTAACACTGAGGATCTTCTGCTGGGACGCTTGAAATAGTAAATCATACACATACACACATGATCACGCTTACATATATACATGCACGTATGTGTGAGTATAACACACACCCACACCTCACACATACATAAACTCAGCGCGCTCTCGCTTCCAGGGCGCACAGGGAACATGGGGTTCCCACACGGGGGGGGGGGGGGTCGTCTACTCGTCTGTAGATGACCCGAGGTATGTCGGGGCACCAGGGACTTCCTTTCTAGGGTATACCTGGTTCCCCGGCTATTAGTACCCGGCGACGGCGTGCGGTTTTAGTCGGTTCGAGTCCGACATGCCACCGACAGGTGGTATCCGAGGGGATTTCCGCACGGAAAAAAAAAAAAAAAGGGGTCCAAAACTAATCGAGCATCTTTTATAAAATATTAAGTTTTGTAAAATACCTTTTTTTGAACTGTTTTAATTTATACATAGTGACGTCATTAATATTGTTAATAAAACATTATTTCTTCAACAATACCCATTCATTTTCGCTGTTTAATATTGCATTTATTATTATCAACATTATTTTAACATAAAGCAACCATTTCTACATTAATAACACCGCAATTTACTTGCGTGGCAACTGCAGGATACAGCGTGACAACTGCGGGGACATTGCGCGGCAACTGCGTGGTACTTACGGTATAAATTTTAGTACCGCAAACATTTATTGCTGTACTAAAATTTGCATAGCAGACGTTATAAATAAATAATTTAACTGAAAATTTACGTTTATAGCGCCACTAACTAAAATGATTTCGTTATAATTTTTATTTTCGTTAATTTTTACCAATGAAAATATTTAACAACTATCATTCGCGTTTGTAGCAGCCACTAGAAACACGTTTAGCTTTAATTATACTATATCTTTCCACGACCACGACGCAACTGCTACGCGACTATTTGACATCACTATCTGGCAACTATCAAGCAACAATCCGGCAACTGTCACGCAACTATCCCGCAACAATTTCATCGTTCAAAATTATTGTTAAGACACATTATATGCTAGTACCTATAGTAGTTAGGTTTAAAGGGTCCTACTTTGTTGAGGCCTAAGTACTTCGCCTGCTCGTCCGTTAGCTCTGTGAGGTGGGCATCGAACGTGGGAAGGTGCAGACTGGCTACATACTCATCCATTTTCTTCGGTAAAAGGTATACATCAGCCTGGAACATTGAGGAATTTATTAGTATCTGACTTCGCACAAAAATGTACCCTAATAAGTCTACACGTATATGTATTTGCTAATATCTATCGTCATCACCGTAACAATGGCCGACATTTTGTTCTACAGGAGGCGACCTGTTGAACGAAATGGCGACCATTTCCAATCATATTTAAAATGTTAGGAGAGTGTAGATGAAGGTATGGAGATGGTGAGCGTACCTTGTACCGGTGGTGCGGCGCGTTGTAGAGCTCGATGAGCGCCAGCGCCTGCGTGGCGGCGGTGACGGACACCACGAAGGACGGCAGCGACGAGCAGCACAGGTTGGCGAGCCGCCCCTCCGCCAGCAGCACTATGCGCTTGCCGCTCGACCATATTATGTGGTCCACCTGGACAGGTCACATCGTCATGTTTATATAACATGTTCATGGACACATCTCACACACGGCCGTCTGATCCCAAACTAGGCAGAGCCTGTGCTATGGCAACCAGACTGCTGATAAACATACTTATATATTTGCAGTTTCCGCGGGCGATGGTAGTTACTTACCATCAAATGACCTGTCTGTTCGTCTGCCCCCTATACCATTAAAAAACCCAGACACAAACAAATGATCATGCTCATAACGGGATCGAATCCACGACCAGAAGATCACCAACCACTATAACAGCAGGTTACTGACCTGGCACTGTGATTCATTGACACAGAAAAGTACCAAGTCACCAGGCGCGACCACACGAGCGAGACCTGGCTCTAATTAAGAACAGTTTGCGCATCATATCCTCTGAGAATGTAGTCTTTGATGCAATAAACTTAAGATAATGCTGAATAGCTTAGGTACAGGTGACATCTGGGCCGTATACTATGGGGATCTTGTGTCAACTAGGGTGAATTTCCGTGCGCTTAAACAACGTTCTGCCATACATATTACAGAAATCAAATATAACTCATCTAGGACCCATAATATTTTGTGTCCGTGATACTTCCCTGTTTAAAAGGAGGTATGCCTATTTTTACTTCATTTTGTCTCCCGTTTTGCTAAGAAGAGAAATTTATTTATTATATTTCTAAGTCCTCCAATTTTCTTCTGAGGGTCGAGTGCAAGTTCATTCTACACCGACTCGGCGAGCGCGTTTAGCGTTGCGATTGGTGGAGATTTCAGTGCGGGCCAATCGTAGCTTCGAACGCGTTCACCGTGACGATCGAGTGGAAGTGAAATAAACTCGCACTTGGCCCACTGATGAATTTAGAGATGGGTTATAAGACAGTTTTACCACAAGATGTAGAATGTCGATGTAGAAGCATCTAGATAGATCGCCTAATACGTGAACTCTCACTAACCTGGCTCCTCACCCTCTCCCAGAGCAGGTCCGGCGTGCGGAGCGCGTGCACGTCAATCTCCGTGTTGCTGTGGCCCATGTTGCACACCACACAGCCGTTCTTCATCCGCTCCATGTGTTCCCTGGTCACCACGCCCTTGTTACCCGTCGCTGTTATCACTATGTCCACTTGCCGGATCACCTGCAAAAACATGGGGTCATGTGAGATGAAAAGAAGAAGAAAGAGAATTTCTTTAACAAAAAACCGGTTTTTAATCTTTGGCCAGTTTGAAAAGTCTTTTGGGAAATTAAAGATGGGAAAATTGGTCCAAAACGAAGGTATTTCTTTTTTTAATTGTTTTTTTTTATGGTATAAGGGGGTAAACGAGCAGACGGGTCAGATTGTAAGGACCTGATTGTAAGCAACTACCGCCGCCCATGGACACCTGCAATACAAAATTCACAAATGCGTTGCTGCCCTTGGAGTCCCTCCCGCTCCAGTCAGCCGGAGGAGGGATTTGGGCTCCGGTAACCTTACTCACTCAGTGAAAGGCAACGAAAGAATTGCTTAACACCGGTTTTCTGTGAGGCCGTGGTATCACTCCGGTCGAGCCGGCCCATTCGTGCCGAAGCATGGCTCTCCCACGGTACACAAAACAAAAAAATAATAGATATTCAAATCCTAACAAGTCTAACATCACGCTTGAGAGCTTTAGGAGCGGAGCAGTGGATAAAAACACGAGTTAAAACTGCGAATAACGACCAGTACATTTCTGAACTCACCTCATTCAGTTTGACGACTCTGAATCCGTCCATGGCTGCCTGCAGCGCACATATCGGATCTATTTCTGTTATATACACCTGAAAACATTAAATTAATACATATACCTTGAATTTTTATATCCCTGTTCTAGTTAAATTTTTTATATGGTGTTAAGGGGCAAACGAGCTCTGTGAGGTGGAGTCAGGTGATGGTAAGTGACAATTGCCGCCTATGGACACCTACAACTAAAGAGTCACAAGTGTGCCGTCCTTTTAATCTCCCTGGCCCATCCCGAATCAGGATTTTGGAGGAGGGTTTAGGAGGAGATTTAATATGATACTTTTTTTTTGGTAAACGAACCCGAGACCTTAGCACTGTAGTACCATACACTACCACTGCACCACTATTGTGACAACTCCAAATAAAATTATAAAAGAGCAGTGCCTTTTAACTAGAAAATCTCCAGGGCAGGAGCAGGGATTAGGAAAACACTGCTAAGAGAAGGAAAACTTGACACAAACCCTATACCAACCCGTCAGGCCCACGTGGTGTAGTAGGCCAAAACCTCCTATCTAAGAAGTGGCCTATGTCCAGCAGTGGACCAGTAAAGGCTGTTGATGATGATGATGATAAAAGTTACTAGCTTTTGCGCGCGGCTCCGCCCGCGTGTATGTCAGTTCTCGCGGTAAAAAGTAGTTTATAGCACTCAGGGATAATATACCTTTCTAACAATGAAATTTCAAAATCGAATTAGTAGTACCAGAGATTACCCTGAACATACAAACTCACAAACTTGACCTCCTCATAATATTAGTATAGAAAACACGTGGTCAAGTCACCTTGGCGACAAAAAAACCTTAATCCAAATAAATGAAACCGTCCGTTAAGTTAATAATACCCCAAATATACAGACACAGATAATAGTTAAAGCATGAGTAAAAACACCACCACAAATAAATAATACTGTTTTCAATGGACAGAAAAAACTGTGAGCTATGCTAATTACTAGATTTCACCTTGGGCATCCGAAGACGAAATCTAGTAATTATTCTCATTTAAAAACATAAGTTAAAACACAGGGGCGATTTTATTTATTTTCTCCAGTTAAGCTAACCGCTTTTGTTAGGAGTGGGTTCTCGTCAGTAAAGTACTGGTTGAGATTCGAACTCACAAACGGTTGATCGCAAGGCATAACGCGATAGCCATTACGATACCGCCACTTCAAATATATGCTAATACAAACTTAATAATTAACATCTATGTATTTAGAATAAAATTAACTTTTCCAAGACTATAAATTACTAGATTATAGGCCAAGATTATAATTGACTGCCACGGTGGCGCAATGGTAGTGTATGCGACTGCTGTGCTGAGGTCTCGGGTTCGATTTCCGGGACGGACTAAATGTTTGTATGATCTGTATATATTCGTTTCTAAGTTATGTATAATATGTATGTACTTACAAAAAAAATTATATAGGAATTCTATTAGTCAAACTAGCTTTCATAGTGTGCTTAGTTTGAAGCTAGATGGCGTTTGTTACCAACCCACTAGTATAAAACACTCACCACACAACCCAGCGCCTTCAGCGCTTGACAGCATCCCTTTCCAACTTCTCCGTAGCCGCACACGACCGACTGCTTACCACCAAACATTAAATCTGTGCTCCGTTTTAAAGCATCTATTATACTTTCCCTGGAATATTAACAATAATTTAAAAACATTAATTTCTTTATCTGTCTCTTTTGCACAATGTCTTTTAGGAGAACTCCATTTATAAAGTAAACAAATCGTTCATTTAAAAATTTACAGTTTATAAACGTAATAAAAGATTTTTCCTTAATAAATCTCTTTTTAAAAATTTCGTGACAGTAACTAAAGTTACTGTGGCGAAATTTTTAGAAAGAGACTTTTTCGAAAGAGATTTTTGCGAAAAAGACAATTTTTTTAAAAGATATATTCTGAGAAAAAACTCTTTTGCGAAATGGACGTTCTGTGAATAAAGCAAAATGCAGCATTATTTCTAAAAACTATTTTTATAGAATTTTTTACTGTTACTGTTTAAATACTAGATTTAGTAACTCACCGACACGAATAAAGATTATCGAACTTAGTTTTAGTGACGGAATCGTTGACGTTCATAGCGGGTACGCACAGCTTGCCCGCCTTGCTGAGCTGATATAGTCTGTGTACCCCTGTCACGCTCTCTTCTACAATACCTGTAAGAGATAGAGAGTGAGTTGTTTAAAAAATTAACAGGAGAGATGACAGACGTGTGCCAGACTCATCTTAAAAAGAAATAACTCTTTAAAATATAATATTATGAAATTGATCTCCCACTTTATTTAAAAACTAACTTTTCCCACAGGCTTCGCTTGTGTTTACGGCGGGTATAAAACCTCACTATAACTTCATAAACAAATGTTCCTGCAGTCCAAAGACACTTTTTTGAACTGGTCTTGCAAAATCCCCGAAACTGGACTGAGGAGTTACGTATTCTACCTTTAATATGTTTGAAGGCAGCCGCATGTTTCTTCAGCATGAGGTGTGTGGCATCACCGCCGTCATCCAGGATCATGTTCGGCTGCCACGTGGCTGTCGGAGTGCAGCACTGGTCTATGCACCACCAGAAAGCTTCTTCACTTTCACCACGCCAGGCGAAAATAGCAAATCCTGGAAAAAACACCGTCGTTGAACCGAATAAGTGTTAAAGTTACTTTTCTGTTCTTTTTTATGGTATAGGGGACAAAAGAGTAGACGGGTCACCTGATGATAAGTGAGTACCGTCACCCATGGATATCTGCAAGGCAAGATACACAAGTGCGTTACCGCTTAGTGCTTCCCCCTATACAGAGTTAGGAAGGGTTGGGACTTCGATAACATGGCTCACTTAGTGAAAGGAACAAAAGAATTTGTTTTCTAAGAGGCCGAAGTATCACTCCGGTCGTGATGACCTATTTGTAAGTAACATTAGAAAGATTGCAGCCGTTACACATACATGACTAGTATAGACGTGTAGACACAATCAAAATTAAACTTTATTAACGACGTCTTAGAGTTTATTTCTTACTAGAGCCAACTGAATTAATGTGTCCTATTACTATTAACGCTGGTAACAACTTACCAGCATGTGCTAAAGCCGCTGCCACTTCGTTCTGCGTGCTGTATATGTTGCAAGCCGCCCAACGCACTGTGGCTCCTAGAGCTGCCAACGTCTCGATGAGAACTGCTGTCTGTGCGTTTATGTGTGTGCACCCGACGATCTACAAGAATATATAATTGTTATGTAAAGACATGGGAAAAAGGGCGAGACGTGGGAGAGCCATGCTTCTGCACGAAAGGGTCGGCTCGACCGGAGTGATACCACGGCCTCACAAAAATCCGGTGTTAATCAATTCTTTCGTTGCTTTTCACCGAGTGAGTGACGTTACCGGAGCCCAAATCCCGCCTCCCGCTAACTCGAGCGGAAGGGACTCCAAGGGCATCAACGCGCCTGTGACTTTTGAGTTGCGGGTGTCCGTGGGCGTCAGTGGTTGCTTACCATCGGGTGACGCGTCTGCTCGTTTGCCCCCATATACCGTAAAAAAAAGACAAAAAGTGAAGTTGTAAGTTTTCAGCAATATTATGGCGTTGCGATCACTACTATGTCTCACACGCAGCCGTCTGATCCCATACTAGGCAGAGCCTGTTGTACTATGGTAACCAGACTGCTGATAAACATACTTATTTATTACTAAATACATACACATTATAGATAAATTATACCCGTGTGGTGACGGATTAAGAATACAAAGTGTCACCACCCCTATTCATCCCGTGGGTGTCGTAAGAGGCGACTAAGGAAGCAAACTACGCAGGACAACAGCACTGCACAGAGAAGGAAAACTTGGAACAAACCCTATACCAACTCGTCTGGCCAGCGTGGTATAGTAGGCCAAAACCTCCCTTCTAAGGAGAGGCCTTTGTCCAGTAGTGGACTAGTAAAGGCTGTTGATGATGATACCCAGATAAATAAATCATCATGCTCATCACACAATAAATTGTCCTGGGTGGGAATGGAAGCCACGATTTCTGGCTTAGCAGTCAGAATCATTAACCACTAAACCAACAAACCCATCAAGTGATTGGATTTTAATCAGTCTTATGGAAATACAGATAATATAATTTACCTCAAAGACATACACGCTCGTTCATTATCATACATAACCCACACACATGCACACGTCCTTCTGCTCAGCAGTCAGAGGGCCTAGTATGAGTTCATTTCACATCAACTATACAATCACAGTGACCGTGTTCGGCGTCTGAACTGAACCTTGACCAATAGCAACGCAGAACGTGCACGTCGTCGAGACCGAGTTGTGTGAAATAATCTGAAACTAGACCCTCGGGACTACTTACAACTAGTCTAATAGGCCAGACATTTGTTTGCATAAAACCTGGCATTATTCAGACGATAGCTTTAAAAGTTTTTCACGGTCGTTTAACACGAATGGACTCGACGCTAACGACCTTTGAGGCCCCATCCCAGAGGTAATTAGACGGTTAGGTATTAAAGTTATCAGTAGGTTATAAAAGTAATAGAATTTAATAGAAACTTGTACAACAAAACTTTCTTAAATATGTACTGTTTTATCTAAGTACGATGCGGTAGATCGCTATACTTTGCTAAAGAGCTCCCGCCGGCCTGTAACTAATAATATTTTGGCTTATCTCAGACACGGCCGTCTGATCCCAAACTAAACATACTTATATATTCCTTAAAGTCCTTAAGTACATACATTATGGATAAAACACACCCTGATACAGAACAATTGATCGTGCTCATCACACAACTATTTGTACTGAATGGGAATCAAACCCACGAACTCTGGCTAGGCCAAACGGCCTGTCATGGTTAGACATTCTAGAATTGCAGATGTGAGTAAAACTATATTCTTAATTAAGTATTATATACACAGTTGGGTTTTTAACTCCTTCTACGTAAAAAGGTTTTATTCCGTTGAGATTTCTACACATAAATAATATTGCGCAGATTTTGATATTTTTTCTTTATGGAATAGGGGGCAAAACAGCAGGTTACCTAAGAGACTACCACCGGACATGGGCTGCAACTCGAAGAGTTACAAGTGCTTTTGGGAGGCCCCCAACCCCCGGGTAATGTGAAAAACAAAAAAACGCTTAATAGCGGTTTTAAATGCAATAATGAATTGCTAGGCTCGTATCAAATATGGTTAGGAAGAGAGGGTAACACAACAGACAGTAGAGGTGAGCGCTGACGCGTCGCAAGAAGTACTTCCTAAACCTATTCTTGGGTCGCAATTCCCAGGCGCTGTCGAAGTCGCATGTGTAGCCGCCACGCGATGGACCCGGCACCCGCACGGTGAATCCATTTAACGCTAAGATATAGGTCTATCTCTCCGATCGAGTCGACCCAAATATGCCGAAATTGTCCAAAGTGTCACCTTCAGCAAATGTAAATAATAATTGCAAATGTTATTTTCAAGCCCGAGTTGTTTATGGGATTGTTACTGGTCCATTACATATCAATACGTTGCTTCGGTGTTACTAGCACTCATATCGTGGTGCGTCGTCCATTCCCCACATGTACGCACACATACAAACTACAGCTTGCTCACAGTCGTCCACATCATAAGACATCTCAGATATCACATGATCAGTGGATGCGTGGAGAAGATAACGTTCCATCGTGAGTAAATAAACCCTATCGTTTAAAGATTCGACTTATAATTGCTTCTATTTACATATCTATGTATGTAGGCTAGCGTTGTATGTGTGTATTGTGGCGTCAAAGAATGGAGGAAGTTTACAATTCGATTGAAATTTTTTATGTTTGTTACCTTAGAATTCTGGCATTTATGAACCGATTTGGATTCTCTTTTTTGAGAGGGTTTACTACCATAGAGATAATAGAGAGAAGCGAGCTACGATCAGGGGACGTTTGTAGAAGGAAGATGGCGATTTACATGTGTCTCTCTCGCACCTATTCGTTGATTTGTTGGTCCGAAGTCAACAGCAAATCAGCGAAGAGGTGCGAGTATGTCGCTATCCCACTTATAGGCAATGGAATACCTTATTTCCTCTACCTATATTATTTCAATGTTTATTACCCATTTCATCCTATTCCAATTTTAAGAAAAAGTACCCTAATACTAGAAAAACGTAATACTTTTTTAAAAGTTAATTATTATGAACCAACCTAGTTTGAACTCTATTACGTAATTCTAAGGATAGTAAATTAAGCGCCTTTGATAAGTGAGCCTTCTGTACGATAATACTTACAATTACCTATTCCGTGATACAATTAAGTCCATCTACAAGCAATTAAGTCTATCTACAAGCAATAAAACCGTCTGATGGCTACCGGTGACAGTGTAATGTTGTTGGGATTCTACTTCCGCAATTAAACCTGTTTTGGTTCATTTTGCATTGAGGTCAACGTTGTATAAAGAGGCGTGGCTAGCAGGATTTTTGGCAATACTAAAATCAATGGTGCTCTGAATCACGTATATTAGGTACAGCCAGGGTTGAAGAATTAAATGAGAAACGTTATCACGATACAACCTTGAATTATGCTTTAGTACACCTTTTCTATACAATCAATCTTTACCACACTTGATACTCAACTTAATTCTTACCGACGACTCCTCGTCCTCCGGGCTCGTGGCCCTTTTTACAAAACAAAGAATGTTACGATCCGCCCTTAGAGTCGCGGGCCAAACTTAAATCGAATGACCTAACACGTAGTATTAAGGTATTGCTTAGCTTACTAAAAATCAATAAATTTGAAAGTGCCTAAATTTTGTCTATTCGCGTTAAAAAAATAGTGCCGCATCGTGCAAGTCCGCCCCCCGTAACAAGAAATTATCATTCCGCACGAAAGCTTGGAACCTGATTGGTCAGAGTGCGGGGCTGTATCGATGTGTCACTATTTTCTTAACGCGAATGGACTAAAGTACTCTTTTATTGAAATAGGCTTTACGGCACATATGGGCCCACTCGACAGTAGTGACACCACGTTTTCACAGGAAATTAAGTATTTAATTCTTTCGATGTTTTTCACTGAATGACTGCGGTTCATCAATCATCATTATCAACACAATTATTATTCCACTGCTGGATATAGGCCGCTCCTTACAATGGAGGTTTTGGCCTACTATACCACGCTGGCCAGACGGCTTGTTATAGGATTTGTTTAAAGTTTTCTCTCTTTTTGCAGTGATGTTGTCCTGCGTAGTTTGCTCCCTTAGTCGTTTCTACGACACCCATTATATTAAGTTCTTCATTATAATTAACTATGAAATAAGCCTGAAATCAGATTTCGAAGTTCTAAGACTTGATTACTATAGATAGACTATATTTCTTTAAGATTTTAATATTTTTTTTAGATCAGAATGAGACTTGCAGTTTGAATACCAACGCAGAAGAATGATGACAGAAGGTCCCTGGAAAGTTTTCTTTGCCCGATATAAGAACTATTCTCAATTACTCCTGCTGTCAAACACTTAACTTTCATATGGATGAATGCTCTTAATCAGCCAAGAGAGTATAAGAACGACAAAGAACATCTGCCAATACTTACTATGTCTATTAACTTATGTACGTTAAATGTTTTATATCTTCATAAGTGTTATGTTCAATGGCCCATATGATTAGATTATACGAATTATTAAAATAAGTCTATACGGTATCCTATCCACTCAACTGTAAACGTTTTGCGACCGCCTTTGAGAAATAGGTTTAGACGAATTAAAAATAAGGAGTGTCACCATCCCTATTACTCCCGTGGGAGTCGCAAAGCCGACTGAGGGAGCAAACTACGCAGGAAGCACAGCAAAGAGAAGAAAAACTTGAATTAAACCCTATATCAAACCAACTGGCCCGCGTGGTATAGTAAGCCAAATCGTCTTATTTAAGAAGAGGCCCATGTCTAGGAGTGCACTATTAAATGCTGTTGATGATGTTGACATTTTTCAACAAGCTTCTAAGAAATTTAAAATAAGTATATTTATACGACATAATTTATTTTAATTTTTTTATTGAATGTGAAGACTGTGAATGATTCAATGGACGTTGATAGTTGATAATTACTTTTACGAGTATCTACCGCATTCAAATCTATATCTTCTATTCTATCTATTCTTTCTTTTCTATACTAAATAAAATTGGAGTGTCTGTTTGTAATATTAAAATAACTGCTTTTTTACAATTTTTGTCTGTCTGTCTGTCTGTCTGTTTGTTCCGGGTAATCTCTGGAACGGCTGGACAGATTTCGACAGGACTTTCACTGGCAGATAGCTGATGACATAAGGAGTAACTTAGGCTATTTTTTTTAGACTAGCTTCGCCCCGCGGCTTTGCCCGCGGTTATAACAACAAACGCGGGTAACACCGCGGGTCTCAGCTAGTATACATATATAACAGGCCAAGACCTCCTTTCTAAGGGGCCTATGTCTACTAAAGGCTGTTGATGATAATTAATGAATCGCATCGAAATGTTAGTTTGGATAACTTTAGTATAATTTGATATTGTAAAGATGCTCGTATGCTAAAGCCAAGAGGTAGATAGTGGAGCTCTTCAGGTGCTACTAATAAACCCCTTCGAGTTCTGTTTAAAATTATTCGTCCACAATGCTCTGATGATGAAGCCAGGAGATATATAGTGTAATCATCATTTTTACTTTTCGCTTTTTTCAGTTGTACTAAGCTATAATTTCTTACTGACCTGTTGGTCTAGTGGTCAGTGATCCTGATTGCTAAGCCAGAGTTTGTAGGTTCTATTCCCACCCAGGACAGATTATTGTAGAATGAGTACGATGATCTGTTCTGTGTAATTTAGTGTAATTTATCTATAAATGAATCTATGTATGTATTTAGAAAAATATAAGTATGTTTATAAGCTTTCATGTTACCATAGTAAAGGCCCTGCTTAGTTTGTGATCAGACGGCCGTGTGTATGACGTGAGGTTATTATATTCCTTAAAATTAAGAGGGTGTCGACAGGAAGGCATCTTGCTTCTGAACTAGTATGTTTGCTACGTTGTTGTTAGTTTCATTAATATTGTCATGAAATTACAGAAAAGGCTTACCTTGGCATCTTTTAACGGCTTATCATCCTTTGCTCTGGCCCTCAACGCAATAATTCCCGGCATCTCTTGTTCGGCAATCTCAATCTCCCTCCTCCCAAAGGCATGCTGTTCAATATTACGGACACAGTACGCTGGGTTTGGTTGCCCACTGGCAATGGCTTTCTCGTGAGGCTGGACTCCTTCATCTTCGTCTGACGATGAGCCTGGAACAAGGAAATTTTAAATTTACAAAACTTCAAGGTTTTCGGGTTCAGGTTTTCGGTTCAGTTTGTTTCAAGGTCACTAAGGGTAGAAACGAACACGTGGACCATCTAAGGACGTATCGTGAGTATCACAAAGCCAGGGAGATACCGTTTGTCAAGGATTTAAGAGTAACTGGGTTTTTCTGTTTTTAACTCTTTCATTTAAATGGCCTTGAAGGAGAACTGCCCTAGCTATCTCATGATAACTGGATTTTTATAGCTTACGGAGAGGTTTCATCATCATCAGCCCTTAATAATCTACTGCTGTACATACGCCTCTTTAAAAAGGAGGTTTTGGCTTACTATACGGAGAGGTTTACTTCCTCTAAACTAACTAGATTCCAAAACTCATACGTCAAGCTTACTACATATTTATATAAGGTAAAAAGTATTTGCACGCGTCTCTATTATCCGAACGGAGCCAAAAAATCCCCTGTGTCCTATTTATCTAGGATTACATCAAGCCCTTGGCAATAGGACCTTTTGCATTTCTATATTTGCTTTTTCTTTAGCTCCAGTAAATTTATGAACCGCGGATGTAAAAGAAAATATACATACACTCACGCCTATAGGCTTTAAGGGGTATACAGAGACGTATTAAGCGCCCACTTCTACGGGCTATAAATGATGTCCCACTTACGTAATATGATGCAAACCTTTGGTCATTTGCCACTAAAGTTAAGGTTTTTTTTAAAGATAACTCCTGCTCTAGAAAAAAATTCTGTGACGCGTATCCTGTCGGGGACTTTGAAGACATTTATAAAACGGATACGAAGAATACCTAGACTCAGAACAACAATTTTGTGAATCACACAAAGTTTTGTCCCATGTGGGATCGGAACCACAACACTTACCCTCTGGTAAGTGTTGTGGACCGCGTAAACCACTACGCTATCCGTGCAGTCGAGGTATAGTGGAGTGGAGTGAAGTACAGCAGTATCAATTAGAAGTATATTGAAAGGACAGGGAAAATGAAAACATTGGTAGGAAAAGGATATTGTTTATAAGGCTGAATTGTGGAATATAAGCAATATTGCCGGCAGGTCAAGGTGCTGTAATTCAAACCAGCTGTTCCCGGGAAGTCTAAGTACTCTAACCTACTACAGAACAAGCATATGACTGAAGAGAAGGAAAACTTGAAATAAACCCTATCCCAACCCGTATGGCCAGCGTGGTATAGTAGACCAAAACCTCCTTTCTACGGAGAGGCCTATGTCCAGCAGTGGACTACTAAAGGCTGTTTATGTGATGATGAAATGATATGACTTAGGGCTAACACGGTATACACATATACTTACAATTTTCACTTCTCCGCGACGCAATAGAGTCACGTTTCTTTAGTTTTCCCTTTTCCCTTGTTCGGTTTTCCCCATCTTGCGTTGACATTTTCTTTGAGCTCATTGTACTACAGTTATTTTAATATTTATATTTACTAACAGTTATTTTATATTTACCAACAAAAGTTATTAGATGGTTAATTATCGTATCGCTGACAAAATTAATTTCTTATTCAAAGGTAGGTTGTTATTTCGTCTTTATTTTTTTTTATGTTAGAGGGTGCAGACGAGCAGACGGGTCACCTGATGGAAAGTGACTATCGCCGCCCATGAACGTCTGCAACGCAGGAGACACAAACGCGTTGCCGGCCTTTTAGGAAGGAGTACGCTCTTTTCGTGAAGGTTTGAAGGTCCGCAGATTGGAAACTGTATGGTTTTGTTTAATGTTTGTTACCTCTGAACTATGTCAGAACTCCGACATTTATGAACCGACTTAGAAGACTCTTTTAAGCGTTTGGTCACATTGAAATTTAATTACAAATGAGAAATACCACCCCTACAGGTGAAAACCACCCATACAAGTGGCAAACTAATAATAATATTTTACCCCATTTACACAACGCTATCTAGTCCGAAACAGAGCAGAGCTTGTACTATGAGTACTAAACAACTGATATAAATACATATATACTTTTTTTTGTAAATACGTACATATTATACATAGAAACAACTAGACAAAATCAAACATTAAATGTTCAAGCACACAAAAGTTTGACTTGAGCGGGAAAAATACCAGCGACCTTTGAATAAAGAATTTATAACAGGAGAGCCATGCTTCGCCACAAATGGGCCGGCTCGAAGAGTCGAAAGACTCACAGAAAACCTGTGGTACCTTTCTGTGTCGTTGTGTTGGCCATTATGTGTTTGTTTCTAAAAATTTACTGTCTCTGTCAAGCCAGCCATATTTCGCATATGGAATCGTATCCAAGATAAACATACAATCAAAGATAGTACAGAAATAACTGTTAGGTGATTTGAATCGATATAGCTATTTTTGTCGAGTGTACCTAATTCGCGTCACCACGTCGCCTCGCCGTATTGCTGAGGTAAAAAGTCAATATTTTGTGTCGTTGTGACGATGAAAATACCATTTTTCAAAAGCAAGTTTTAAAATATCTATTTACACTTTTATTTATGATATATTAACGGACCTGTTGGTGTTTAAATGAGTGATCCTGACTGCTAAGTCGGAGGTCGTGGGTTTGATTCCCAACTAGGCCAAATAATTGTGTGACCGGTTAAACGACACGGCTCAATCATTTGTTCTGTGTCTGAGTGTAATCTTATATATATAAAATTCTCGTGTCACAATGTTCGTTCCCGTACTCCTCCGAAACGGCTGGACCGATTTCTATGAAATTTTGTGTTCACATCGGGTAGGTCTGAGAATCGGCCAACATCTATTTTTTATACCCCTAAAGGACAAGGGTGACCCACCCGATTTTTTTTTTTTCAATATTACCTAGCAATAATGTAGATGGCAAAACAACGTTTGCCGGGTCAGCTAGTTTATCTATAACTAGCTGACCCGCGCAACTTCGTCTGCGTCTCTCAATAGTAATAAATTTTCTCCGTTTTTGGAAAACATTCTTCATTGGTGCTCCGCTCCTATTGGTCTAAGCGTGATGATATATAGCCTATAGCCTTCCTCGATAAATGGGCTATCTAATACTGAAAGAATTTTTCAAATCGGACCAGTAGTTCCTGAGATTAGCGCGTTCAAACAAACAAACAAACAAACTTCAGCTTTATAATATTAGTATAGATATGTCTGCGTTTAGAAATATATAAGTATGTTTATTGGCAGTCTGGTTACCCTGCAGCTCAAGTGGCACGAATACGTTGTAGTCCTTTAAAGGCAAGGCCTCTGTCGGGTAACATCATTCATTCAGTCAAATTCAACGTATTTTTTTTTTAAACAACTCCCGCATTAAGGATATATCATGTGTCGAGGAGGACTTTACAAACATACATGAAACGGACACAAAGGACACCCAGACTCAGAACAACAATTTGTGGATCACACAAAGTGTTGTCCCATGTAGGGATCGAACCCACAACACTCAGCGTAGTAGGAAGCGGCGTGGCGACCGCTTAAACCACTACGCCATCCGATTTTCTATGAGGCCCTGGAATCATTAAAGTCGATTCAGCTCATGCGCCGAAGCATGGCTCTCACACGTCTAGCATGGTTCTCCCACGGCTAATGCAGATAAAAAGAAGAAATTGGTATTAAATTATTTTCTAAAATCTGTGAGTAGTTCATAAGCTTCCAATTTAAGTTTTTCAAAATCTCTTCAGAATTTCAGCTTGGTAAAAGCTTTGTAATGTATTTGAGGATAACAGATCCATAAACTAAACATACTTGACTAAATAAAGTTTGGGATTTCTTTCGATATAAGTTGATCCAGCCATAACTTCAAGTATAATAACGGTACGAATACCGACTTTATACATGTCTTTTTGTTAGAGTTATAAGAAAAGTTTGGATAAGAATAAAAATAGTTAACATATTGCCACAGTCTTGGTCTACCTTTATATAAATTCAAAATGCACAATAAAATCTGTCCGAGGAAAATAAGACGAGCCTTTGAAACAAAAAGGTTGTTGTTATATAATATACTATTTACTATGTTTTTATTGTTAACCCTGCCACGCTTCGCTGTGGCCCATCGTCGTAGCATTGACAAGAAATCAGGACCAAACTAACGCGAAAAATTTTAATCTCTGATATATACTAAGATATTAATTGTAATGAATTGCTGTAAAAGGCAATTTTGATCTACATCAAATGTACATACGACGTATCTAACGTATTTATTTGGATAAGGAATAATACCGTATTGTTCAAATAGCTTCGTAAATAACCCATTAGTTTCTGAAATATGTAAAATATAAAAATGGGTACGATAGGCAGGCGACCTGTTCTGGGTGTTTCTATTTTTAATATGTATGTATTTACAAAAAAAAGTAAATAATATGTTTTTTTTGTTCAGTTGTCTAGTACCTATAGTACAAGCTCTTCTTAGTTTGAAACTAGATAGCGTTGTGTGATTGTGGTAGAAAAAAAAATATATACCATCACGGACTTTTTTATTTATTTTATTTAATTATTTATGCAAAAATTACAACTCACTTGTACAATGGCGGACTTAATGACACAGGCATTCTCTTCCAGCTTTTTCGACTCCGCCCGCGTAAATGTCAATTATAGTGGTAAAAAGTATCACATGTCTTACCTCAAGAATCTAAGTATCTACATACCCAATTACATCTAAGTCGGTTCAGCGGTTCTTGATTCCCCATATAAACTTCCACCCCCCTTCTCATCCTCTTAAAGTATGATTTCTGGGATAAAAACTACCCTTTGTCCTTTCACGGGACTCGGACTATCACTATACCAAATTTCATCTAAATCGGTTGAGCAGTTTAAGCGCGAAGAGACAGACAGACAGACAGACACTTTCACATTTACAATATTAGTATGGATTTCTTTTCTTTTCTTTTTCAAAGACAACTCCCGCACTAGGTATAAATCCTGTGTCGCGAGGGACTTTACAAACATACATGAAACGGACACAAAGAACACCCAGACTCAGAACAACAATTTGTGGATCACACAATGTGTTGTCCCATGTGGGGTTTGAACCCACAACACTCAGTGTAGTAGTGAGCGGCGTGGCGACCGCTTAAACCACTACGCCATCCGTGCAGTCAAGATTATTAGTATGGATATAAAATCAGTAACCCAGACAATATACCTAACTGATAACATTCATTGACCTATCCACTTAAGCATGCGGTTTTATTTTTAAGGATAACAGCATGCAATACGTATTCGTCTATACTAAGTATTTATATCGACCGTTAAAAGGCAATCTTTATCAAACGATATCGATACTAATCGATACTAATATAATAAATGCGAAAGAGCGTCTGTCTGTCTGTCTCTCTGTTACCTTTTCACGCTTGATACAATGATCACGGTATAGAGATATTTTGAGTCCCGTGACAGGACATAGGATGGTTTTTACCAAAGAAGTTATATTTTAAGGGGGTAAAAACGGGGGTGGAAGTTTGAATGGGGAATCAATAACCGCTAAACCGATTTATATGAAATTTGGTATGGAGATAGTTTGATTCTTGAGGAAGGACATATGCTACTATTTACCGCGATAACTGACATACATACGGGCGGAGCCGCGGGCGAAAGCTATTAAGTCATAATAATAATCTGACTCATTTCACACCATTTAATCTAGAAACTAGGCAGAGCCTATACTGTGATAATCAGACTGGTAGTCAGGAACACTCACTACTGGAACAGCAGTCTCTTTTCTTCCCTTTACACAGAGACAGTAAAATTACCGAAGGTACCACCCCTTCCTCCTCATCCCCTACCCTCTAATTCTGGAAGAGGACGCACTTGTGACTCTTAACTTGCTAGTGTCCATGGGCTGTGGTAGTCACTTACCATCAAGTAATACGTCTGCTACTTTGCCCTCTAAACCGTAAAAAAAAATTCATCATCATCATCAGCCTATCGCAGTCCACTGCACGTCTATTACACGGCACTTCGAAAAAAAAAGTTACCTACATGCTATTCCAAACTGTAATCTATCTTTCTGCACATTTCATTCAGATGCATGCAGCCGTTCTGCAGTGATAGAGCAAAAGACACATCCATCCTAACTCGCATTGACACTAGTGGTTGGATTTTTTTCTATTTAATCTATGTATATAAAAATGTTAAGTTGGTTTGTATACGCTTCAAAACCTCAAAAAATTCTGCACCGATTGAGTTCAAATTTAAACACGATATACAACCCGCATCAAAGATTATTTGTATCTAAATTTCGTTAGTTTTGTTCCTCATGTCTCATCAATGCACCAAAGCGTGGTAAGGTACAGCTGGTATAAATTGTTAGTCTCGCCACGAGCTAGCAACACACTGCATAACACCATCCTTACACAAATCCATGACGTTTATAGGTCGCACAAATTATGTATAACTGTATTCATACACCTACAACGAACGCAACCGGTTTGCCGATAGCAAATCGA